GTTTCCGGGTCTGGGGTGCTCGTGCCTTTGTCCGCGATACCACCGCGGACAAGCTTTCCCCTCGCGCCATTCCTTGCGTCTTCCTTGGCTTTGTCCCTGACGCACCTGGCTGGCAGTTTTACGACCCCTCCTCGCGCCGTGTCTTTGCGTCTCAGGACGTCACCTTTGACGAGTCGGTCCCCTTTTACCGCCTCTTCCCCTACCGCACTGCTCCTCGCCCCCCCCCCGCCGCTCTTTCTCGCCCCAGGTCCTCCCCAGGTAGACCCCCTCCCCGCGCCAGGTCCTGCTCCTTCAGGTGTCTCTCAGGTAGACCCCCCCGCGCCTGCGCTTGCTGAGGTCACTGGTGACTCCGGTCCTGCTGGGAGTAGTGCTGTCCCTGGGGGTGAGGAGCTTGGGGGTGCTGAGTCTGGAGGCGCTGAGCGTGTGGAGCCTGGAGGTGCTGAGCCTGCGCGTGAGGAGCCTGGAGGTGCTGCGTCTGGGGGTGCTGCGTCTGGAGGTGCTGCGTCTGGGGGTGCTGAGCCTGCGTGTGCGGAGCCTGGGGGTGCTGAGTCTAGGGGTGAGTCGCCTGAGGGTTCTGAGACTGCTTTTACGCGGTCTCCTTGGAGTAGCCGTCTTCGTCCACGTGTGCCCCTCACCTCCCAGCAGCAGCACGACTGGTACGGTCGCCGTCATCGTCGCGCTTCTGCACCTCAGGGCTCTACTGCTGGGGGTTCTTCTGCTGGTGTTGCTGGTCCCGGAGGTGCTCGTACTGAGGGTACTGGAGCTGCTGGGGCTGGCGGTGTTGTGACTGTGGGTACTGGAGCTGCAGAGGGTGCTGGAGCTGCTGAGGGTACTGGGGCTGCTGGAGGTGCTGGACCTGCTGAGGGTCCTGGAGCTACTAGCGGTGCTGGAGCTGCTGAGGGTACTGGAGCTGCTGGAGGTGCTGGAGCTACTGAGGGTACTGGGGCTGCTGGAGGTGCTGGACCTGCTGAGGGTCCTGGAGCTACTGGCGGTGCTGGAGCTGCTGAGGGTACTAGAGCTGCTGGAGGTGCTGGAGCTGCTGGAGGTGCTGGAGCTGCTGGAGGTGCTGGAGCTGCTGGTGCTGGTGGCACTGCTCAGCCGCGCCTGTTCTTCGCTCTGCCATCTCCGTCGTCTCAGCCACCACCTGACTCTGCACTTCGCCAGGTTCTAGGTCTTCCCTCGTCTACTGGTCTTCCGTTACAGCCTGGCTCACCGTTGCCTGCTCCTTCTCCGTCATGATCCTGCGTCGCGTCCTGTCTCACCTGTCCGTTCTGGTCGTTCCGGTCGTCGTGTTCCTCAAAAGCGGCAGCCGGCTGTCTCCGGCCCTCACCTTGTACTTCGTCGTCCTTCCTCTCCCCCGCTGCATGTTCCTCTGCCGTCTCCCCCTGCGTCCTCTCTGCCTGTCTTTGCTGACCTTGCGTCTGACCAGTTTCGTGCTGAGCACTCTACTGTCACGCGTCTGCTTGCCACTGTTGTCACTGACCCGTCGTTTGAGTCTGCTGCTGCGTCTGCCTTAGTCGCTGAGCTTGTTGACTTTGCTGCTGCCTGTCGTCTCGACTACGCCGCCAGTCTTGTTGCTGAGTCTGTCTGTCCTCCGTCCGTCGGGGGTGAGTGTGCTCTTGGCATGGACGTCCTTGAGGACAGGCAGGAGGACCTTTAGTGTCTTGCAGCCGCTGCGCCTCATCTCGTGGCCATGCTGCTTGCCCCTGAGGGAGACCCGGATGCACCAGACATCCCTACCCTGCGCTCTTACGCTGAGGCAATCGCGGGTGAGTACTCCTCTCAGTGACAGACAGCCATGGTAACAGAGATGGCATCCTGGAAGTCCACAGGCACCTACATCGACGAGGTTCCCCCTCTTGGGGCGAACATTGTCAGTGGCATGTGAATTTTCAGGGTGAAGCGGCCGCCAGGTTCTCCGCATGTCTTCAAGGCTCGTTACGTGGCTCGAGGCTTCAGTCCGCGAGAGGGAGTTGACTTCTTCCAGACCTTCTCCCCCACCCCGAAGATGACCACTCTTCGGGTGCTGCTACACGTTGCCGCTCAGCGTGACTACGAGCTTCACTCTCTTGACTTCAGCACAACCTTCTTACATGGCAGCCTGCACGAGGAGATTTGGCTGCGCCGCCCTCCTGGCTTCACGGGGTCGTTCCCTCCTGGTACCCAGTGGAGCCTCCGGCGGCCGGTCTACGGTCTCCGCCAGGCGCCACGTGAGTGGCACGACACACTGAGGACGACACTTGCGGCTCTTGGGTTTGCTCCGTCGACTGCTGACCCGTCGCTGTTTCTGCGCACCGACACTTCGCTGCCGCCGTTCTACATTCTCGTGTACGTCGACGACTTGGTCTTTGCCACTGCTGACACTGAGGCTCTCGCCCTGGTGAAGTCGGAGCTGCAGAAGAGACACACGTGCACAGACTTGGGTGAGCTGCGCAGCTATCTTGGCTTGCAGATCACCCGGGACAGAGCACGCCGCACCATCACACTGACTCAGTCACACATGGTGCAGCAGGTCCTTCAGCGCTTCGGCTTCACCTGGTCCTCAGCACAGGCCACTCCTCTGGCTACAGGTCACTCGCTCTCAGCTCCACCTTCGGACGAGTCCGTAGAGCCGAGTGGTCCTTACCCAGAGCTAGTGGGCTGCCTCATGTACCTGATGACCTGCACTCGTCCTGACCTTGCGTACCCTCTTGGCCTTCTGGCTCGCTACGTGGCTCCTGGTCGGCACCGAAAGGTGCACATGGATGCTACTAAGAGGGTACTACGCTACTTGTGCAGTACATCGGGCATGGGGCTCGTGCTTGGAGGACGGGGTGACGTTGTCCTCACTGGTCACTCGGACGCCTCTTGGGTTGACGACCAGGCTACGCAGCGGTCGTCACAGGGTTACACCTTCAGCCTTGGTTCTGGTTCAGTTTCCTGGCGTTCTACACGTTCGTCTTCAGTTCTCGGCTCCAGCTGTGAGGCCGAGATCTATGCCATAGCCATGGCTGCACAGGAGCTACGCTGGCTCACCTACCTGCTGACCGACTTGGGTGAGCGGCCTCGTTCTCCTCCAGTTCTGTACGTCGACAACAAGGCTGCCATTGCCTTGTGTCAGGAGCACAGACTGGAGCACAGAACGAAGCACATCGCTCTACGTTACTTCCTTGCTCGAGAGCTGCAGCAGCGTGGCCAGCTTCGTCTTGCTTACGTGGCCACTCGGGCCAACACTGCTGATATATTCACCAAGGCGCTTCCGCCTGGTGATCATCAGCGTTTCTGCACTTTGTTAGGCCTTGTTCCCACGCTTCCTCACTTGCTGTAGGCTTTGTTTGTACTGTGATCTATATGTATACCTGCATGCTTGCTCTTGTAGGTAGATATCACTGTGCTGTTGTTGTTACACATATATCTCTGCATGTGAACTGGCCTTGTGGCCTTTTGCTTGTGCATAGACTGCGTGGTGACGTTGTGATCCACCCTGAGCTTGTTTTGCACTTGCTGTCTGGCCTTGTGACCCTCTGTTCTCCCCCACTTTGCCTATGGGGGTGTGTCAAACATGTGGGCTTTAGTGGGGTACTCACTGTGGGGTACAACCCCTTAGGTTTTCCTTTTGTACCAAAACTCTCGATAGTCCAACCTCACCTTATCTAAGATTCTAACAAAAACTCTCGGAGACACCATCCCAACTCGCCTTCGACCCGCCCACGACAACTGCATTTAATATCAACCACGTCAGGTGCTGCCAGCTGCAACTGCTGAAGACACCACCGAAGATTCTGGATGAGTCACGACATGAATTCACAGTTCGAGGTCTTTGATGATTTTGACACGATTTCCGGGCTACGTCTTCTGGTTCGCCCTCGAAGATTTTTTGGGCACGTACTACGGGTTTCGTCATCGATTTTCCACACCGACACGTTTTCATTTGGACATCTATGCTCGACGCTCTTCTTTGTGGGACTTCACACCTGGTTCTGTTGGATTTTACTTCGGCGCAGCTGTGACGATTTTATGAACAGTTTTCTTGGAGGGGGGGAGAAAGTGCTTTGCAGTGTTCTTTCCTTGGCGTTTTTCTCGGTCCTTTCTGACTTTGTCTGGTTGCGTCAGCACGACGGACGATCGCGATTACACCGACACGATCTACGGTCCCTGCTCAATCGCGTTTGCATTCGCGTCAGCAGGTTCCCTCTCTTTTCGCGTCAATCTTCAACCGTCAGATCTACAGCTGCTCGATCTACGGCCCACATTCCAACTTTCAATTCATTTGGGCCAGCTCATCTTCGACCGTCAGATCGACATCTGACTTCATCGACAGCCGACATTCCAACCTCTTCAAAAATATTTTCAAAGGCATTTCAACCGTCGGATTCAGCTGAAGAGGAGATCTACGGCATCCTCGCTAGTGTGGGGTCTGTTCTTAGTACAGGGATGCCCTATTTTGAAGGTGGGAGAGTGTAAGGATTTACAAATCCTTACTGAGGCACTCTTTAGCGAGGCCATCCCGAGGTTCACGCGACGAACCTGTTCGCCCTAATTCGTCGCACCGAACCACCCCCGAGTCGGCCTCCGCTCCAATCGCAACCATCACCGAGCCATCTTCGCCATACCCCTTCGCCTAGCTAGGACTTCCCCTATTTAGGCCTCGTCACTTTGTGTGTTCAGGGGACCAATCAATTCAGTACTCATTCTCGTTATTCTGCGCACTCTGCAAGTTCATTCGTAACACCTATGGCTAGAGTTGAATTTCAAATTAAGAAATTCCCATTTGAGGAACTGTTTCCACCTTTGGTATCACCACCTCGTCTCTATGGCTGACTATCATAATGAATAAGCGAATTTGCATTTAGCCAGGCACAAACACCCAAGCTACATGTACACTTGATTGATAAGGTGACCTAGGGACAAGATGGTAGCACAATGCAGCTGAGCGAGCAGGCTTTCATGCAACAAATCCTTGGTGCTGCTTGTATCAAGGCGGCTTCCATTTGACGTTAGGAAAATCAACTTGAAGATCCTTACTTGGCGGCGGACCTGAAAGAATCAAAGCAGAAACACGGTCATGCATGCATGCATGTAACACATTGAAGAAAAAAACACAACAAACCACAGAAAGCGACAGCCAAATTTCAAGTTCTCATAAGATGCCTATCACAGGCGGTTGCTTGGTTATAATCACATCCGTTAAAAGCAGCATTCTCACCTCATCTTGTGCTCAGCACTGGCCATCTCCTTAGGATCCACCTTGGCCAGTAAGGAGTGCCCTCCTTATTTTCTTATTCACTGACACTACTCTCGTTACAGTCACGCCTACATAGGTACTTCGTTACAAGCACACTCATCAAAGAGTCTCACCTCATCTTGCGGAGAGCAGTCTGCATCTCCTCGCGCTTCACCTTGGCGCGGCGGTGGGTGCCCAGCTTCCGCTTCGCCAGCTTCAGCGCGCGCTTGTCCTTGCCGACCTGTGTTGGGGGGGAACAGGGGGTGGGGGGCGGGGGCGGGGAAGGGGAGTGAGCGCAGGGGGAGCGTTATTTAATCGACTCAAGAGTCACCTTGGCGCGGCGGTGGGTGCCAGCTTCCGCTTCGCCAACTTCAGTGCGCGCTTGTCCTTGCCAACCTGTGTTGGGGGGGGAGCGCGGCGGGAAGGGGGAGGGGAAGTGGGCGTGGGATGGGGGGGGGAAGGGAGGGGAGAGAGGAAAGAGGGGAAGGGGCGGAGGGGGAGGGGGGGAGGAAGGGGGGGGGGTGGGGGGGGAGAGAGTGGAGGAGGGGAGGGGTGCGAAGGGGAACGGAGGGAGTGGGAAGGAGAGGGAGTCGGCGGAGGAAAGAGAAGAGTGACGGGGGAAGGTTGGGTGAGGGGGAAGAAGATGAAGGGGCATACACGGGTAAAAAAACAAGTTATACGGGGGACAACTTGACGGGCGGCCAGGCTCCGCTGGACGAATATCGCCGCAATTGTGCTCTCTGACTAGTGGAAAAGGCACGGGTAAGACGAGTAACAGCGCGGAGAGCAGGAGGGAAAGCGGAATCAGGGAAACCAGGAATGTGACTCGCAACTAGAGTTGAACGCTGCCCCGGTTGCGCTTGCACTACACCCTCGGAACCCAAGTGGCATGATCGACCAAGGGACGCTGAACGGCGAAAGACGATTCTCGGAGACGTTGGCCGACGAGGCGACGAGAAGTCATAGATTCGGAAAGAGATTACGCCCGAATGGATGTCTGGACGGATCCTACAATGAGGACGGTGCCTGGACACAATGTGGTCTCAGAGTCGGAAGTCTGCTTTTGAGTCGACTCAAAAGCTGGATGTCTGGACGGCTCCTACAAAAAGGACGGTGCCTGGACACAATGTGGTTTCAGAGTCGGAAGTCTACCGGGCACGTTCGACTGATTAGGCCACGCAAAGAACGGCTTTCAGACCGCCAAACTGCACGAGGTGTAGATGGTCCGGCTTCCGTCATTCCGATCTATACCCTGAATTAACACATGCCCGCTTAGCCGCCTGAAGCTAACGACTTCGCAGTGATTCGGCTTCGGCTTATCACCAACTAAACCTAACGAGTCAGGCCTACGTTTTCCACGAGCCCCTGCAGCAAAACTGATACTCAATCCAGGTGCCGGAAACTGAGAGACATGACCGTTGAAAGCGTGTCCACGAAACCTGAGATCGCCGCGACAGCTGCGCCAAATCGCATCACCGGTTTACGCTCCGTTGATACACTACTCCAGACACCTAATTGAACCGCTCCCGACTCCGCAATACATCGCTCCTCCGACAGCCAATCCGGTTCCCGAGCTACTGCCGACGGCTACACTGCCGAATCGGACCCCGAGTTCAAAATGATTCAAATGGATACAAAAATACCCAAGCTGCAATGGTACAACAACGCTGCTCAGGTGCAAAAATACCTGATACTAAATGTTCAGGGTAATAAGTTATCAATATAGCCATACCTTGAGCAGCTCCATGATCCGCTTCTCATAGGGAGAGAAGCCCGCGACCTCGCGAATCAGACCGCGGACGAACGTTCCGCGCTTCGACTGCAAACAAAACCCGCGCGAAACAAGGGGAAGACACCAATACGATTACGGTCCGACGTACTGCCAGCAGCACTAGGAGATCCGTTCGGCGTGCGGCCTTCAGCTGTAATATAAACCCCATGTCCGTCCAACGTGCTACAACGTTCGAAAAACTTAGCGGAATTGCTGAAAATCGTCTCACGAAACACCAGATTGGAGCTGCTGGGATTAACCTACCGCCCGTGTCTTGGGCTTCGAGATCTCCCTCTTGGTCACGATGTGACCCTTGTTGAGGCCTACTGCGATTCCAGTCATGGTGGCCGCGGAAAAGGGAAGTAGGACGAACTAAGGACGTTGCCACTAAGGATTGGGAAAAGGAGGCTGAGTGTGAGGGAGAAACCCTAAAGAGCTTCTTGCAGAGGAGTTAGCTGCAAAGAGGAGGAGAAACGAGTGGAGTGGCGTGTACAATATTCGTTAGATGTGTGCACAAGAACAGTCAAACCGAAAGACGGAAGGGTTTGTTATATCGAGGATGAAGGTGCAGGGTGGTCGAACCCTGTGCTAGCGGAGACGTGTTTTGGGGCTTTGTGGTTCCCCTGGACAGGGGTTGGAAGCAGCCAACCGCTTGTGTAAACCCGCTTATTGTTTGTATGTACTTTAAAGCCCGCGTCCCAAATTGCGGGCCGCGAGGGTCAAGTTTTTAAAACTTGACGAAGTTGAGTGTCCAAGCTTTTGAAAGTCACGCACTTGCAATTTGGGACTTTCGAAGACAGATTCACTCACCAGGGGGAAAACCGAGGGTTGGCTGGGTCTCGCGAAAAAAACGAACCTAGACGAAATCGGAAACTCTCGCCAAAGCCCACACCAGAAAAACTCCCTCTGGTCAACTTTTAAAAGCATGAACAATTTGGGCCGCCGGCTTTAACACAATCGTAACATCGCGATGCAGTACACTCCGCAATTTGGATTACGTCGCACAGTTCTGGCGATTTATTTCATGTCTGATAGCAAAGCGACAAACAAAAAGAGACAAACACAACGCGGCGCGAAATGTCACACACAGTGAGGAAGCAGCACAGCACAGCAAGAAGCGGAGAATTTCGAGTCGCGACTGTCCTTTCACACATCCCCCAAGCCAACTCCCTCCAACCCACCGCCATGTGTAGGTTCCTTCCTCCGAAGCTATCGAGTCGCGGTATGGACGGTGGCTTGGGGTGGGGGAACAGGGAAGCCAGCTGCTCAAGAATGGTACATATTCGGCGCCCTTTCCTCATAACCGACCATCGAACTCACTCAATCCAAACATTTCTCTGAATTAGCAACCATCATTCGACGACACTTCCGTCTACCTAGTCAAGCTCAAGACCATTCAAAATCATCACAAGTCTGCGTCATTCGAAGATTAGCATAATCACCTCAACTTCTTCCCTAAACGACCTGAAGAGCTTTCTTACGTTCAACTCTTTAAATTCTACCAGCTAGCACCGCAGTTTCCGCAGTAGAACCTAGAAGCAGTATGGCTTGCAAGTCGAAGATCGATATTACAGCATCCAGCGAGCTCTCTAGCAGATACACGCTCAAGGAATTTCTGGGCGAGGGCCAGTACGGCACAGTGTGGCGCTGTGAGAAGCGCGCGACGGGCGAGCATTTCGCTCTTAAGTACATCGACCTAACCAAGTGCAGCAGCAGGGCCCGCCTCGCAGCTCTCAGCGAAGTCGAAATCCTCCAAAAGATCCGCGATTCTGGCTTCTCCGATAGTGTCGTAACGCTCAAGGACGTGTACGGGGACAAGGATTCGCTTTATCTTGTAATGGAGCTGTGCACTGGCGGGGATCTTCTCGAGCTCATCCAGAAGCAGCCTGGCGCGTTTCTTAGCGAGGCGGAATCGCGCCACGTGTTCACGTCTGTAGCGCGCGCCGTGAAGCAGTGCCACGCCAGCAGCATCGTCCACCGCGACATCAAACCCGAAAACATTCTCCTCTGCCCGATTTCGAAGGTCGACACCGCCGCCGCCGCCGCAAACAACGGCGCGTCGTTCGCGTACACCGCGAAACTCGCGGATTTCGGGCTCGCGGTGGACGTGCCGTGGTGGCAGCAGATTCGCGGGTATGCCGGCAGCAAGCCGTATGAGGCGCCGGAGGTTATGGCGGGAATCGCGTACGACGAGTCTGCAGACATCTGGAGCCTCGGTGTGACTCTCTACGCGATGCTTTCGGGAAAGTGGCCGCTTTTTAGGGGCGGGAAGCGGGTCCTCGACGAGAAGGTAGATTTCGCATCGAGCGACTGGAAGAAGGTGTCAAGTGATGCGAAGGATCTCATCCGTCGGATGCTGTGCGTGGATGTGAACGAACGGTTCACAATTGACGATGTTCTGGCGCATCCGTGGGTACGCCCAGCGGTAGTGGCGGCGGCTGAGGAATCGATGGAGACCGTCAATCTGTCGGAGAAACGAACGGCTGCTGTTGCTTCGCAAACCGACGCTCAGATCACCCCGGGAATTGCCGAAGCTGATTCCCAAAGCACAGCAACCAGCGCTGCGATATTCGCGTGTGAAGCCGAGTCCACCATAAGCACTGCCTTCAAGGCACACGCCACCACCCATGTCCCCGATACAAGACGACCCTACACGGTGGGAAGCATGTCTTTTGCGAGTGCAACCAACAGCACTGACAGTGATTGCGGGAGCAACGCAGAGAAGCCGCGCTGGGCCGGAAAGCTCTCTCCCCGCACCGTTTTGAACCGCGTCATGAAATCCTTCTCTCCTCTCACACGCCAGAAGGAGGCGTCGTGCATCCCCATAGAAGTTCTTTGAGAATCTCCGTTTATAGGATACCCTGCAAGAGAGATCCGGCCTCCAGGTGTAGGACTTCTTCCCCCTTAGGACAACAGGAAGAGTTGCTGTGGTGCCCGGAGATCATAGGGTACGATCCCGAGCACCCTAGCAACTTATTCCTTGCGTTGAATTGCGTATTGTTTTGCCTCTGTTAAGTTTTAATCAATACTGTCTACATTACCTGAATAATGTTATTTCACATTCCAGCATGAAAGCCTGAAATGAGAAGGGGACAGTAATGTTTTATTTGCTGGGTTGGAAATCCCTTGCAATTCTGGACTGAAAACGAGGGTTGGATGCTTCTCAAAGCGTTTTAGTCTGGCGACTTACGTTCCAGAATGGTGCAATATCAACGTAGAAATTGCGTTTCGCACCGTGCAGCACTTTTCGTTTGCTAGGGTTTCCAAGTTGTGCTTTCATCCTTGCTGGAGGATGCCACCTCATTACTGGTTGTACCACCAAAGTGAACCATTCTGTAAGGTCTGTCACCGTACAAAAACGCTTCTCACCTTTGCCCATCCCAGACTTGACCAGAGCCGTTGAAACTCGTCTCTGTGAATTGGTGTTGCACAACCAATGATAGAATCTGTTCAGATACTTTCGACTGCTTCAAAACTTTTCACAACACACTGAACCTCTGTAAGTTTTAAATAGAACGTTTTGAAACGTGACAAAATCGCCTGAACCGCATTCTATCGAACACTCTGGTCTCACCAAAGTTGATAAGATGTATTGCTGCCTTGGGAATCACTGTTGGATTCAGTGCATGGGGACTTCAACGGACAACAAGCTAACATTTTCTCAAAGCTACGGTTTCTTTCCTCCTTCCTGAATTCTCCAATTATGCATGCAGCTTCGTATCGACTCGGCCTCACAAATCTTTAGTATGGCTGTCAGCATCAGTATACGTAGATTCGTGCATTTCAGTAATATCTAGGGACCGTAGCGTCAGCACGGAATCCACGTACTGAAGCGACCAACCCGACAAAGTGCTTTATCCATATCGGAGCTGCTTCAATGAGAGCCATCACGAAACGCGGCAGGAGGCTCGGCCCTCAGCCGGACTCGGCGCGCAGTCACCTGTCTCCCGTGCTTGCATCCCCCTCCTCTTTCCCCTCCTCCTCCCTATCCTCGTCACGGTATGCGGATGCTTCGTCGCGTGTCAAGCAGCAGAGTAAGGGAGGCTCGGCGCGCAACAGCTGGGGGGGTGTAGACGCGCACAGTGACTCGCGCAGCCACGCGCTCAGTCAAGCGCGCAGTCACACGCGCAGTCAGGCGCTATGGTGCCTCGTCGCGTTCCTGGTAGTCGCGTGTCAGCGTGTCGCGACGGTTTCTGGCGTCATCATCATGATCGCTCCGGACAACGCCACGTACTCGTTCGAAGACGCCGACGCCGCGTTCGGTACGCCCGCCGCTTCCCGCCATCCCGCCTTCCCCCTCCCCTCTCCCCCCTCCCCTCCCTCCCTCCCGCCTCCCGCCTCCCGTTCCCCTTCCCCTTCCCCCTCCCCTTCCCCTTCCTCTTCCCCTTCCCCTTCCCCTTCCCCTTCCCCTTTTCCTTCCCCTTCCCCCTCCCCGTCCCCTTCCCCTTCCCCCAGGCGGTCTCATCCCCTCGACGGGCATGCGCGGAGTGCTCCGCCGGGCCGTCCCTTACGACGCGTGCGAGCCGCTCACGAACCCCGCGGGGGCGGAATCCGCGGAGGGGGGATCCGCGGAGGGGGAATCCGCGGGGGAGGCGGAGTTTGTGCTTATAGAGAGGGGCAACTGCCTGTTCGACGTGAAGGTGCTGAACGCGCAGCGCGCGGGGTACGCCGCCGCAGTGGTGTACAATAACGAGCCCGGGAAGAGGATTATAACGAGTACGTGGTGTAGCGAGGGGTGGGAGGTGGCGTGGGGTGGAGTGGGATGATGGGGTGGGGTGGTGTGGAATGGGGTGGGGTGGAATGGGGTGGGTCAACGAGAGGAAGAGGGAGTTGGGGAGGGGGGAGGGGGAAGGGGGAGGGGGTGGGAAAGGGGAAGGGAGAAGCACAGGAAAAAAATGGGTGGAGGCAGGAGGGTAAAGCGGGGAGGGGAGGGCGGCACATGTGAGGCCTTTTGAGACGTCTCAAAACAAGAGTGGCACATGTGAAGAGTGGCACATGTGAAGAGTGGCACATGTGAAGAGTGGCACATGTGAAGAGTGGCCATCCCAGCTATCTTTCTGTGACTCAATCCGTCCCAAGTTTCCCCAGCATTTCTCGTCACTCAAATTTTGTTTCTGACTTTCACCCGCTTTCCCCCCCTCTCCCTGCGCCGCCCCCTCTCTCCTTGCAGTGTCAGGGCGCCACATATGGGGCATCGCCATCCCAGCAGTCTTGATTCACCTCGCTCTAACTCCCATCCATCGCTCCTTCTCCCTCCCACCCACCTCTCCTCTTAACCTTTATCTGTTCCCCCATTCCCCCATTCTCCCCTCCTCTTCCCCCCTCCCAGTGTCAGGGCGGCACATGTGGGGCATCGTCATCCCAGCAGTCTTCATCACTCAAATCTCTGCTAACGCCCTTCTTACCACTATCAACCGCTTTCCCCTACATTCGTTCCTCCCCCTCTCTCTCCACCCATACTCTCTCCCCCAACTCTCCCCCTACTGGCCTCCCCAACCCACACCCCCCTCCCCTCCCAGTGTCAGGGCGGCACATGTGGGGCATCACCATACCAGCAGTCTTCATCACCCAATCCTCCGGCCACGCTCTTATCAACATCATCAACCGCTTCCCCCCACCATCCTCCTCCTCCTCCTCCTCCTCCTCCTCCTCCTCCTCCTCCTCCTCCTCCTCCTCTCACTTCTCCCCCTTCCCCTCCCCCTTCTCCCCCTTCTCCTCCCCCGAATCCTTCCCCGAATCCTCCCCTCCCATCTGCGTTCTCCTCCCTACCTTCGACAATGCGGCCTGGTCTGTTATTACCGCATCCCTAGTCTCCCTCCTCTCCCTCTCTATAGTCCTCGCCTCGTTTCTCTTTATACGACGGCACCGGCTGCGGCAGGCTGTAGCAGCCGCCGCTACAGCCATGGGCGCGGGCGGCGCTGGTCGGCTGCTAGCGGCGCGTCAGGAGCCGCCCGGGCTGTCAGAGGAGGAGGTGAAGGCGCTTCCAGAATTGGTTTTCCCGCCAAAAGGGAAGCATGCGAGTAGTGTGTCAGTGTTTGGTGGCGGTTGTAGCAAGGCCGGCTGTAGCAGCTGTGGGGGAAAAGGGTTGAAGAGGACAGGCGGAGGTGGCAAGGAGACAGGTGGGATAGGGGAGTCTGCGGCTGTAGCAGCATCTGTAGCCTCACCAGAGGAAGGAGAAGTAGGGAGGGAAAGAGCAGCAGAACGAGCTACAGCTGTAGCAGCGGTAGCATCTGTAGCAGCTGCCGTGGCACCGGAGCAAGGGGAGGAAAGCATGCCACTACTACCCAGTGGGTGTGTGGCTGTGTCTGTCGCGGATGGAAGTGAGGATGGTGATTGTGGTGATACTAATTGTGGTGACTGTATCGTCAGTGATATGACTGCTGCTGCTGCTGCTGCTGCTGCTGGTGATGCAGGAAGAGCAGAGGGAGACGAGGGAGGAGAGGGGACAGAGGGAGGAGTAGGAGGAGCGGATTCAAAGGGAGGAGTGGGAGGAGTGGCGGCAGAAGCAGCGGGAGGAGAGGGAGGAGAGGGAGGGGGCAGGGAGATGGAAACATGTGCAATTTGCCTGGAGGATTATGAGTGGGGGGATAGGCTGCGCCTGCTGCCCTGCTCGCATGGTGAGTTTGACTGTTTATCTGTTTTAGAATATCCCTTTTCATGCCATTGGAAAATGTAATCTGCCTCTTTCAATTCTGTCTGCCTCCTTGTTTCGAATGCTCGCACGTATTTGTGTCTGCCCCTATCTTTCCCCGTTTGTTCCCTTTCCTTCCTACAGAGTTCAGAGTTCACTGCGTTGACCAGTAGCTGACCTGTGGTTGACCAGTAGCTGACCTGTGGTTGACCATGCAACGAAGGTGGCGCACTGCACTTCATGTGCTGGTCTAGTCTACCTCACTCAAGCACCCCCTCAGGTTTCCCCTTCTTCCCTTTCCCCTCCCCTTTTTCCCCATCCCCTTCCGTTCTTGCCTGTGCACTCAATGAAATCTTAAGCACGCATACTCCCCAACAACTGCACGTTGAGTCACTGCGCTGCACACCCCTCCCTTGTCCACGCCCCTCCCCCTCGCGCCCCTACACGCAGTGACATCGCGAGCACGAACGGTCGTAGACAACTGCACGTTTGTGGACAATAAAGCACAAGACCAGGGCGGAGCGCTGCACTTCCTGCCATACGAGATCCTCAATGTCTCCCGCTCTCGCTTCCAAGGGAACTCCGTGCTCAAGCAGAACGGCGGGGCTATCAACGTGCAGGGGGTGAGTTGTGGGTGCGGTTAAACAGCCTCTACGTCTCCCTCTTTCGAGATGTCTCATAAGCCCTCCCACTCGCGCTACCAAGTGTTGTAATTGTACACTATATACAACATTCATAGGCTAGAATAGGTGTAGTCCTTTAGGTTCTTGGGGGGGTTGGGTGTACACTCCAACCACACTTTGTGGTTGGTCAAGATTGGATTTGGTCTTGGCCCTTGGTTGGCACTTGCCAACTTTTGGTCCTTAGACCAACCAATCCCAACCTAGCCACATTGTGAGGTTGCCTACTCCACAAGGCACCTCACCCATTGGCCAACTTATTGGCCAATAGGGTTAGCTCCTCCTACAACCTTCTCTTCCTTGCATGCTTGTATTATAGAGCCTTGTTGGCTCATTACTAATCATACTCTTGAATTCTATCACCAAGGGAACTCCGTGGTCAAGCAGAACGGCGGGGCTATTCACGTGCTCGGGGTGAGTTGTGAGTTGGTATGGAGCAAGAGGCGAGTTGTGAGTTGAGAGTTGGTATGGAGCAAGAGGTGAGTCGTGAGTTGAGAGTGCGGTTAAACTGCCTCTACGTCTCCCGCTTTCGAGACAGAAGCACAAGCCCTCCCGCTCGTGCTTCCAAGGAAACTCCGTGCTCAAGCAGAACCGCGCGGCTATTCACGTGCTCGGGGTGAGTTGAGAGTTGGTATGGAGCAAGAGGCGAGTTGTGAGTTGAGAGTTGGTATGGAGCAAGAGGTGAGTCGTGAGTTGAGAGTGCGGTTAAACTGCCTTTACGTCTCCCACTTTCGAGACAGAAGCACAAGCCCTCCCGCTCGTGCTTCCAAGGAAACTCCGTGCTCAAGCAGAACGGCGGGGCTATTCACGTGCTCGGGGTGAGTTGAGAGTTGGTATGGAGCAAGAGGCGAGTTGTGAGTTGAGAGTTGGTATGGAGCAAGAGGTGAGTCGTGAGTTGAGAGTGCGGTTAAACTGCCTCTACGTCTCCCGCTTTCGAGACAGAAGCACAAGCCCTCCCGCTCGTGCTTCCAAGGAAACTCCGTGCTCAAGCAGAACGGCGAGGCTATTCAGGTGCTCAAGGTGAGTTGTTGTGATTGCGGTTAATGTGTGTGAGGGGAGTTGCGGGTTGTGAGAGCTATTCACACTCGTTGACAGCACTTCCTGCCGTACGACAGCCTCTTCGTCTCACGCACGCGCTTCCAGGGAAACGTCGTGCTCTCTTGCACACCTGCACGCTCCCTTGCACACCTGCACGCTCCCTTGCACACCTGCACGCTCCCTTGCACACCTGCACGCTCCCTTGCACACCTGCACACTCCCTTGCACACCTGCACGCTCCCTTGCACACCTGCACACTCCCTTGCACACCTGCACGCTCCCTTGCACACCTGCACACTCCCTTGCACACCTGCAGGGCACAGGGGCAGGTAGGGTGGAGAGCAGCTAGTTTGGGGGCAACAGGGCAGAGCGGACCAAGTGAAGCGCCCTGTACAGCGAGTCTCAATATGTCTCAATGCCCATCCCTTCACCTGCACACTCTCTTGCAAAACCCTCTTGCACACCTGCAGGGCACGGGGGCAGTGAGGGTGGAGAGCAGCACATTCGTGAGAAACAGGGCAGAGCGGACCAAGTGAAGCGCCCTGTACAGCGAGTCTCAATATGTCTCAATGCTAATTTCTGCACTCCCACGCATTTGCACTCACTTTCGCCCACTCCCTCACCTCACCCCTGCAGGGCACGGGGGCAGTGCGGGTGGAGAGCAGCACGTTCGTGGGCAACAGGGCGGAGCAGTCCAAGGGAGGTGCCCTGTACAGCGAGTCAGTGTCAGTCACCTTCGATAATGTCACACTGGACGGAAACAAGGCCGCACTACAAGGGGGCGCAGTGGCTGGTGAGTGAACACACGGCACCAGATGGCCAGAAGTCTAGAAACAGAGGGGGCGTCCTGTACAGCGAGTCAGTGTCTGTCACCTTCGATAATGTCACTCTGGACGGGAACAAGGCCGCGCTGCAAGGGGGCGCTGTTGCCGGTGAGTGGATGCATGCTAATGCTTCCTGGCTGGTAAGGGAAACACTGTGTCACAATAGGCGCCCTGTACAGCGAGTCGGTGTCAATGACCTTCGATAGTGTCACTCTGGACGGCAACACGGCGGGGCTGCAGGGAGGGGCGGTGGCTGGTGAGTGAACGCACGGCACCACCAACACTTGGTGGCACTTGAGTGAAGTGAAGCGAGTCAGTGTCTGACACCTTCGTTAACGTCCCTCTGGACGGCAACACGCCGGGGCTGCAGGGGGGCGCGGGTGAGTGAACGGGCACTTCATGAGTGAACACAGTGACCAATGAACTAAAGGTGGGTGAGTGAACGGGCACTTCATGAGTGAACACAGTGACCAATGAACTAAAGGCTGGTGAGTGAACGGGCACTTCATGAGTGAACACAGTGACCAATGAACTAAAGGCTGGTGAGTGAACGGGCACTTCATGAGTGAACACAGTGACCAATGAACTAAAGGCTGGTGAGTGAACGGGCACTTCATGAGTGAACACAGTGACCAATGAACTAAAGGCTGGTGAGTGAACGGGCACTTCATGAGTGAACACAGTGACCAATGAACTAAAGGCTGGTGAGTGAAGCACACGGCACCAAGGGAGGGAGGCGCTGTTTACAGCAGGTCGGTGTCTGTCACGTTCGATAATGTCACTCTGGACGGGAACACGGCGGCGTGGCAGGGAGGGCCGGTGGCTGGTGAGTGAACCAACGCTTCCAGCCTGATAGCAGATGAGTGAACAGAATTTCCAGCTCTGAACGGCACGGTACACAGTGGCAGGTAGGGGGATAAGCTGACCTGTGGTTGACCAGTAGCTGACCTGTGGTTGACCAGTAGCTGACCTGTGGTTGACCAGTAGCTGACCTGTGGTTGACCAGTAGCTGACCTGTGGTTGACCAGTAGCTGACCTATGGTTGACCAGTAGCTGACCTGTGGTTGACCAGTAGCTGACTTGTGGTTGACCAGTAGCTGACCTGTGGTTGACCAGTAGCTGACCTGTGGTTGACCAGTAGCTGACCTGTGGTTGACCAGTAGCTGACCTGTGGTTGACCAGTGGTTGACCGCCCACTGCTCCTTCTCCCTCTCTATTGACTCACTCTTTCTTCGCTATGCTCTCACCAATACCTCTCTCCCCCCTTCCACTGCAGAGTTCCACGTTGACTGCGTTGACCAGTGGTTGACCACCCGCCGCCCCTTCTGCCCCGTCTGCAAGCGAGACGCACACCCCCCAACCCACCTCCTCCCTTCCTCCCTCCTCTCCTCCTCCTCCACTCCTCCTCTCACCTCTACCACTACCACCAATACTGCTGCTCTCGCCTCCTCTTCCTCTCCCGCTGCTTCGACTGCTCTCTTCGTCTCCTCCCTGCTCTACCCTCTCATCCGCTCCTTCTCACCCCTCCCATCCCTGCCCACCGCATCCAACTCCTCCAACCCCTTCAGCGCCGCACCGAACCCTTCCAATTCCGCATCTGTAGCCAGCAGAAGGATCAGACCCTCCCGCTCCTCCTCCATCTCCTCCTCCCCCACTTCCTCCTCCTCCCTCTCCTCGCCTTCATCCAACTTCCACTCTCCCACAAACCCCACCACCGCACTCCACCCTCCTGGAACCTCTCTTTCCTCCTTCCCTCCTTCCGCCACCCCACCCACCTCCATCCCCACTCTCCCCTCCTCCCTCTTCCCCACTCCCCGTTTTATCGCCGCTTCAACCGCCTCCTCCTCCTCTCTCTCCCCTCCAGACCCTTCTCGGGAGCCCTTTTTGCTGCATCACCCTTCGAGGGATTCAGATGATGAAGAGACGGGGGAGATTAGACCTGTTCCCATGCCAGGCTTTACCCCACCGTCACCTATACCACCTCATTTGCAGGTCTCAAATTGAGGCGATATTTGAGTCGACTAAAAAATCAACCCTTTTTTGCCGGATCACCCTTGGAGGGATTCAGATGATGAAGAGAAGGGGGGGATTAGACCAGTACCGTTGCCGGGGTCCCCCCCCCCCCGTCGCCTCTACCCACTCATTTGCAGGTCTCGCATTGAGTGGTACATTTTCTTTTTGCGGTGTTATACTTCATTATTTGAGGATCTCGTGCATTTCCATGCTGGAATTTGCCTGCCCTTTTGTATAGACTTGAGGGAAATCTCAACTGTTCATATATTCACTGGTAATACCGCTGCCTTGTTTTTGCTCACAGGCATATTCCCTCGCATGTTCCCTTCATTGAGATCCATGAGACACACTTTGTAAGGAATTTTCCCGAATTCCTTATCGGGTTTGACTGCTTCGCGTACAACCCCGATTTTCGGACTCTGCACGTTTGGCCGACATCAACGGTGTCGAGCCTCCTCGCGTCGCCTTCAGCTTTTCTCTTCGCCAAACCTGCACCCAACCTCACTCACCCGAAGTTCCCTCCTAGCTAGCCTACTCACTATATTAGCATGTACCTTCATTTTATAATCAGTCTGTTCAATCACTTCTCGTTATTCGTTAACCTGCGCACTCTCTTTTACAACTCATAACATCTGGTATCATAGCTACTTTCCTAGTTCACCCCGCTTTTCGAGGGTAGTTTGGTGGCACGGGTTGGCTGGTATAAGTGGACTACACGACGGTTGGCCGCAAGGTTTGTTAATTCAAACCTGCCCGACTCCGATAGTTCGTGTTTTCCACTTTGCCTGAAGGCCGCGGAGACCCGCTTGCCCACCCGACGAAGTGCCCGACACACGGATCAAGAGGCGGTTAACAGACTCATGGCGAAGTGGCAGAAATGCAAGAGGGCATGAAGACATTAATGGCGGAAGTGACAACACTACGTGGAGAAAACGCCGAGCTACGCCAGGCGCGAGGTGAAGCGTGTTAGGAGTCGCCCGATGACGAAGGCGAGGGCAACAGTCAAGCGGTGAGCAACCCGTTGGACGCGCTCACACGTGACTTCGAAGAAGAGGACAGGCAGTGAGTGGCATCAGCACCAGTTGCAGTAACGACGATAAAGATTAAACCTGCCAACCCGCCCCCGTTTAATCCTACGGACAAGACGATTACGGTGAAAGGGTGGTTGTTTGGAGTCGAAGTCTTTTTCACTGCAGCAGGAGTGACCGATGATGCCATGCGCATTAATTGTGCCGTTTCTCTCCTCCGAGGTGCAGCGCTTGAGTGGTGGCGCCGAACCTTAGAAACGGGGACCCCGACAGGTGTGACACATGCGGCAGACGGGACCTCAACAGTGACTAATCAAGCGGCAGAATCGATCTTCGGAGTGACCAAGATACACACATGGAGAGAGTGGGGCGCAACCTTACGGGATCGCTTCGAGCATGTATCTGCCTCGGAGCAAGCTCGCATGAAGCTGCGTGCCTGGTCGCAGATGGCATCTGTCCAAGACTACACGGCGTCATTTATGGGCCTCGCCGACCAAGTGGATGACATGTCGGAAGCGGAACGGTTGGATAAATACATCAGCGGCCTAAAATATGAGATACAGTACGAGGTCCGCAGGAGCCGCCCGACAACATTTCTGGAAGCAGTACGGCTGGCAGAGTCCATTGATGCGCTGATGCAGTATGCGAGAACGGCTTCCCGGGAGGGAATCCGTCTTCGTGGCCAGACCCATCGGGCCACAATCAACGTTGTCCATACACCCGACCGCCCTCCTAAGGGACCGTGTTATCTGTGTGGGAAGATGGGTTACTTAATGCGCGACTGCCACGAGAAAACGCCGCTGACGGGGAACGACAGGAAGGAGCAGGGAAATGGGAAAAGTCAATAATTGGCGGGCCCTTTACTGACTGTGCTCCGTCGCCCGAACACCACCATCCCCACCGAGTCGTGGTTCCGATTCATGCAATCGATCGCACTCGGCCGAATAACGGGGATACTCATGTGGATCACCCTGTGCTGGTCACTGGCAATGTGTTTAAATATAACTTAAAAATGTTCGTCGATGGGGGGGCAGCCATAGCCTCTTCAACTTGGCGACAGCAAAAAAATGCAAGCTGCAACTTGACAGATGTCTGCCCGAAATCGACGATCGCCTCGTGGATGGGACGCCTCTGGCGATACTGGAAGAAACACGGACGGTTCGGATTGAATGCGGCGACGATTTCGGCTTCAGCATGAAGTTCCTCACGACGACATTGGACGGCTGCGACATACTGTTGGGACGTGATTGGCTGCGACGGCACAACCCCGTCATCGACTGGACAACGGGATCGTGTTGCATCAACAAGCACGAGGGGCTAATTAAGCTGCCTGCATGGACACCTGACTACATCCAAGCCCCGTGCGTCAAAGCTGTCACTATAGCTCGACACTTCAACAAGGGCGCACAGCTGTTCGTTGTTTGCTTACGTGAGTTGACAGTTGACACCGACGGAAAAGACATCGAGAAGCTGTGTGCAGCTGTACCACCGGACTTAGCGGAGCTGATTCGACAGTACCCCGACATTTTCCCCGACGACCTGCCACCTGGACTACCACCCGAGCGACCTGAGGACCGCAAAATCCAGCTGGAGCCTGGCGCGCAGCCGACTGTTCGGACACAATGGCGGTTGACCCAACCGGAACTCGAGGAGTTGCGAAGTCAAATCGACGCACTGTTGGAGAAAGGGTTCATCCGAGCCAGTACATCTCCCTTCGCAGCACCGATCCTCTTCACTCCGAAAAAAGATGGTGGGCTTCGCATGTGCATCGACTATCGTGCGCTAAACCGGGTGACAATCAAGTCTCGCTACCCAATCCCACGCACCGACGACCTCCTTGACCAACTTCGCGAAGCTCGTTATTTGTCGAAGATTGACTTACGAGGCGGTTACCACCAAATCCGAGTCTTCGCCGACGACTGCCACAAGACTGCATTTCGCACCCGCTACGGAAGTTACGAATTCATCGTCATGCCCTTCGGCCTCACGAACGCGCCCTCAACTTTTCAATTGACCATGAACAGGATTTTTCGGGACCTTCTAGACCGATGCGTCATCGTCTACTTGGACGATATCCTGATTTTTAGCAAGACACGGGAGCACCACCTCCGCGACCTCCACGCAGTGTTTAAATGGTTGCAGGAGAATCGACTCATCACCAAGGGCTCTAAGTGCGAATTTTTTAAGAAAGTGTTGGAGTTTTTGGGACACGTTGTCTTACGCGACGGCATTAAAATCGACCCGACGAAAATCAAGACCATACAGGAGTGGAAGTCCCCGACGAATATCACGGAGCTGCAGAGTTTTCTGGGGTTTGTGAATTACGTCCGGCGGTTTATCCCGAATATGGCGGGGATAATCGGCCCGCTAACCGACCTGCTGCACAAGGACAGGAATTTTGTGTGGGGGGAGGAGGCAGAAGCGGCTTTCCATGAGTTGAAAAAATTCCTGGTTTCCCCCCCTGTGCTGCGCATTGCCGACCCATCGAAGCCGTTCGAAGTCGTCACCGACTCCTCTGATTTCGCGATCGGAGCTGTGCTACTCCAGGATTTCGGGAACGGACTGCAGCCGATAGCTTATGAGTCACGCAAACTGCAGGCAGCCGAGCGCAACTACCCGATTCACGACAAAGAAATGCTCGCCATTATCCACGCATTCAAACTGTGGCGATGCTACCTGGTGGGCGCCGACGTCACTGTTCGCACAGACCACAAGTCCCTCCAATATCTGCGAGCTCAGCCCAACCTCAACCCGCGACAAATTCGGTGGCTGGATTACATGGAAAGCCACTTCACCTACCGCATCACATACAAGAAGGGGGCAAATAACATTGCCGACGCCCTGACCCGACCGACAGTATAATCCGCTGCAGTACTCATTCACCACTCGAACCCGTTACTTACCGGACTTTTCACCCACGGCTACACTACGGACCCGTTCTTCACGACTGGGAACCACCAGCAAGCCACGACGCATAAAGGAGATTATTACCTAAAAGCCGGAACTGATCGGATTTGGGTTCCCGCTTACCGGCTGCTGCGTGAACTACTTATCCAGGAGGTCCACGATTCAAACTTCTTCGGACATTTCGGGGTTGATAAAACCCCGAAATTACTGCACCGTCACTACTATTGGCCTGACTCCTCTAACGACGTGTAGCGATATGTGTCCTCATGCAGGGTGTGCCAGGCCATGAAATCGACACGTCAACGGCCAGCTGGACTACTGCAACCCCTCGAGCCACCCGGAAGACTGTGGCAACAAGTGACAATGGATTTTGTCACGGGGATGCCAGCTGGACCATCCGGCAACGACGCTGTTCTCGTCGTCGTCGATCGTCTCACGAAAATGGCGCACTTCGCACCATGTCGTACAGCAATCACAGCCGAAGAGACTGCACGACTATTCATATCAACGGTCGTACGACTGCACGGAATTCCCTCGGCGATCATGAGCGACCGAGACCCGAAGTTCACGTCAAAATTTTGGAAGGAGACGTGGGTACAGTACGGCACGAAACTACAGTTCTCCTCCGCATACTATCCACAGACGGATGGCCAGACCGAGCGAACCAATCAGACAATGGAGCAGCTGATACGGACCAACTGCTCCGACCCTGCTTGCTGGGAAGACTCGCTCGCGATGTTGGAGTTCGCCTTCAACAATGCCCCATCCAGTACGACTAATCACTCCCCGTTCTTTTTGAATTACGGGATGGACCCGATGGTACCTACAACGACTACACTCGACAATCCGGTACCGCGGTCACAAACATTCGTGACGGAACTACAGGAAGTCCGCGAAAAAGCGGCGAACGCAAGGCGAATACCACTTCCCGAAAATACATTGACCTTTTCCGACGGGAACTCGTCTTGACAGCTGGGTAATTAGTCCTCCTTGACACGAAAAACCTGCGACTGCCCTGCCCCTCGAAATTACGACCACGATTCTGCGGGCCTTTCAAAATTATCAAGATGGTGACACCTGTCACCGCGAAGCTGCTGCTCCCTGACGACTGGCGCATCCACGATGCCTTCCATGTCAGCTTACTTCGCAAGTTCGTGCAAGCCACGTCCGACATCGCCCGGCAACAAACTGCACCAACGGCACCCCCGGTGCCCGAACCGACCCTTGACCCGTCCAAGATCTTGGCGCATCGTGTTCGCCTGGATGCCGCTGGCCGCCACGTGGATTTCTTAATCCGCTGGACTGACCGCACCAGTGAGGACGACACGTGGGTGTCATCCGCCTCGTTTGCAGGCTCTTCGCTTGTTGTTGATTACCTCGCACGCAAGCGCGCCGCGGATATTGACCATCTTGCTTAAGGGGGGGGGGGTAGTGTAAGGAATTTTCCCGAATTCCTTATCGGGGTTGACTGCTTCGCGTACAACCCCGATTTTCGGACTCTGCACGTTTGGCCGACATCAACGGTGCCGAGCCTTCTCGCGTCGCCTTCGGCTTTTCTCTTCGCCAAACCTGCACCCAACCTCACTCACCCAAAGTTCACTATATTAGCATGCACCTTCATTTTATAATCAGTCTGTTCAATCACTTCTCGTTATTCGTTAACCTGCGCACTCTCTTTTACAACTCATAACACACTTCATTTGTGCTTCTTTCATAACAAAGATGTGGACAAAAGTAACATAGAACTGTACAGGGTTTGGTACAAATACATTTCTAATAAAACCTTCTCTCGCGCTAACCATACTGCACCAATTGGGTGTACCTTGCACCATTACTGTACTGCCTCTTTATAATGCCTACAGCCAGACATTTGGATGCCAATCTGAGTTCACGTAGGCTGCTGCAATTACTGGGGGAGAGAGGGACTTCCCATAGAAACTGACAGGAGGGACCAGGAGAACTGAGATGGAGAGTGTACCAGGAGGAGGGAGTAGAGAGGTTAGAATGGTGGAGGGGGATGGGAGCGGGGAGTGGAGGAGAAGGAGAAATGAGGGAGGAGGAGGAGGACGGAGGAGGGAGGATGAGGAGGGAGGAGGGAGTTGCACACTTGCCCAAACCTGAGAGACCGAGGGAAGATGGGCAATAGGGCAACTCGCCCTGTAGTGCTGATTGCTGCTGTAGCCTGTAAACCATACGACCATAGTACCAGTCTTGAGGCGCCTCAAAACTCGTCCTGTAGTGTTGACTGACGCTGGAGATCATACGGCCATACTACACGGTAACTGTATGGAGTGAGTAATTTCCTGTAGTTACATGGTAACCGTGTGATGAAGAATCGCCGATAGGTTGTCGTCGCGACTTCCGCCGCCCGTTTACGCCGCGATTGGGTGGCTCTGCCTGGCTCCTGCCGCGCCGTCAACCGACTGTGAGAGGCAGACAGCTGTCGGCGCCACACGGGACGATGCCCGCCGCCCGGCGCGCATCTTGAAAGCCAGGCACGTGGGGACCACGTGCTTCAGCGCTGCTGCTGCGTGCTTGGGGCTGCTGAAATAATTTCCACGAGGAGAGGTTTTTTTCGGGCTGACCGGGGGTTCTGGAGCTTCGGGGAGAGAGATATCCAGCTTTTTGGATGCAGGTTTGGGGAAGTTAGGCTCGGGAAAGTCAGGTTGGGGGAATTTGATGTCAGGGATTGCAACAAGCGCGGAAATCGCGGCGGGAAACGCGGTGGAGTTGTCATCAGCTGTGGTGAAGCGGCGGGAAGGGGGAGGAGGGGGTGGAGCTAGCCACGTGTCAGCGAGTATTTGGTCAATCGTGGGGCGCATGAGGGGGTCCACGGCGAGCATCCAACGGATGAGATTCTTCGCATAGTCCGAGATCGACGACCAGCAGGGCGCCTCCCAATCCGCGATATCGTCGAGCTCTCTAACGTTATCATGGAACAGAGGCCATGTTCCCGAAAGCATCGCGTACAGTAATACGCCGAGGCTCCAGATATCAGCGGATTCATCGTACGGCTCTAAAGCCATCACTTCAGGCGCCTCGTACGGGTAGCTTCCCGCGTAGCCAACCACCTGCTGCCAGCGAGGCAGCTCCAGTGACAGCCCGAAATCGGTGAGTTTCGCGACGTATTGTGGGTTACCCGCATCAGAGGACGATTGCGAAATGTGCGAAAGAGAATCCGTGGCAGCGACTCCAGGAGCTGTTTTATTCGGGCAGAGGAGGATGTTTTCGGGTTTGATGTCGCGGTGGATAATGCTGTTATCGTGACACTCTTTAACGGCGCGAGCCACGGACGCGAAAATATCTCGTGATTCCGCTTCGCAAAGCATCCCTTCGTTCTGTATCCTCGCTAAAAGGTCCCCTCCAGTCCCGAGCTCCATTAGCATGTATAACGAATCTCTGTCCGCGTACACCGCTTCCAGACCGACGATATGTCCGCAGCTCTTTCCGCGAAGTTTCGCCATGATTTCAATCTCCCGCCGCGCCGCAGCATGCGCGTTCTCCCCGCAGGCGGCGCGCGATACGCGTTTGCATGCGAACTCGCGTGCGGAGCGGCGGTCGACGAGGCGCCAGACGACGCCGTACTGCCCCTTGCCGAGCACGTCGACTGCGGTGAAGTTCGTGCGAAGCGCGGCGGTAGGGAGGAGTTCGATGCGGTGCTGATGGTGATGGTGCGAGGACGCTGAGGTTGACCGATGCTCCATATTTTTTGCTCGTAGTACTAACACGATTCTAATTGTTGCAGCAAGAACGCAACTATAAAGAAATATCGGCTGAGGGAAGAAAACTATTAATCCGTAATTTTTTTCGCTGAGCTTGGAAAGAGCAGAGGGGGGAGAGCAGAGTCAGAAGTCGGGATAAGTTCGTGACAACTGGGAGCCACGGCGATTCACGAGTCTTATGAGCCTTGCATTGGATGCTCCCACTAAATAGGGCTGGGTCGGTGTCAGTATCAGAGCGACTTGAATTTCCAAAACTAGTGAGGTACGCGATGGGCGACGAGCAGTGACTGGAGGTCGAATAACTGTGACGCGATATTTCTGGGAATCGGTGGAATTCTTCCTGGTCTGGTGCATCCCCGGGCGCTCGCTCGAGAGGGGAATACTGTAGCACAGCGTACCGCAACTCAGCGCACCGCAGCGCCGGGAGCGTAGCGGAGCTAGCATTGCGCGGGTGGTGGTGGTGGAGGTGGGCTTGCTTGCCAGCTGCACCGCGTTGCACGTGGGCAGCGCAACCGCTTTGGCTTGTCGAGTTTCTTGGCATGGCGCGCGCTTCGCTCTGCTCCGCGCAACTTCACTCCGCACCGCGCCCCCACCAATGTCGATGTCAAGTCAAAACCACCTCCCCCTTCATTACCTCCAACCAGGACACCCAGCCTGTCTCAACCACGCCCACCCGTTCAGTACAGCACAACTGCCCAACCTCTTGGCGCGGCTTGGCCGAATCGTTCATTTCTCCGATAGGCTCGGTTCAGTTGCTCATCCAGATCGTTCCTTTCTTTGTTCTGCTCGGATGGGGCCTGACCCCTACCAGTGTCCGCAATGCGCTCACTACAGTTCCACGGCGCAATACCTGCCCTGAAACGACCCCCTTTCCCCACCTCTATTCCCCTCCTGGAGAACGAAATGCCCCTTTCAGCATTTCAAACAGGCTGCCTCTGGCCAATGGAATTCTCTTTGCACTGGGCATGTGGGTAAGTGGGCTGGGCAGATTGGAAAAGCTTTGCGCTGAGGCGCTCCCTTCGCTGCCCCTCGGATCCTCACGTGCCTGGCTGTTCGAAATTGGTTTGCTCGGTTGGGGCAGGGAAAAGTAGCTGCTGCTTTCTGTGAGAACGAAATGGTTGAGCCGCGAGTGTCGGTGCGCAGATTACTTGTTGCATCACGCTCACACTGCAGCCAGCAGCACGGCAAAAAAAACTGAAGAACGAGGTTGATCCAACACCCTGGTCAATCACGTTTTGACTGGTACAACTTGCGACAAAAAGTGCATGTGGACTCGTGGCTCTGCTTCGGAATGCAAACCGATTGTCACATGGGACTAGACGGACCGTCAGAAAAACCAGACGGTCGTCAGCCGCCAGCCGAGGCGGGATTGGTGGCGTTACACCATTACATGACAACACAACTATCGAGCGCGCAACCCAAACCCTAGGGGCAGGGGAATGAGGCGAAACTGCGAGCAATGTCGTAGGCTGCGCTTTCACCCACAGCTCGCGTGCCCCCCAAACCGAAAGCCGCCGTCAAGTGCGGAGCATACCAGTTCCGTTCGGTTCGGGTCAGGTCGGGCAGAGCGAGAAGGTCTATGCCCAAGCCTTGTTCTGCCAGTTGCTCTTTCAGGGGTATAATCAACCTCATTAGGATGTACAAGGCGCTTGGTGAATCCTACAACAGTTGTGGCAATTTGCATGTATCTCAATCATATAGAATAAATATCATTTAAGATACATTTACTAACTACAACTCGAGATTTAGCAGGAAGATGCACCAGGATCAGATGCCATGGTTGCAGCCTGCACACCAGTTATGGCAATCGTCGTAACCAGGTCCCTCACAGTATCGCTATTGGTCACGTCACTTACAGGCCGCCTCAAACCCTGCAACACAGTTCCCATCGCTACACCTCCCGACGTGCGCTGCTGCTTGTACATATCTGTGCTGCTGTGAATATCGGGAAAAATCAGCACTGTAGCTTTCCCCGCCACGTCCGAGTTATCAAATAAAACAGACCCGCTCCTTTTTTTGTCACCCACAGCGGTGGCATACGGAAGGGGCCCCTCGACTGCTAGGTCAGGCCGTTGCTCCTTTACTATATGTGCTGCCTCCTCTATTCTCTCCGCAAGATGACCTGGCACAGAGAGGAGATGGAGAAGCAGGGGCAGGGGGGACGGGAGGATGCAGCATGGATTGAGTAAAGTCATCATTACATCAGGAGTGGGTTATCACGTCAGTCCAACAGACCAGAAAACACCCAATATTTTGTCATCCACTCCCTTCCCCCTCCCCTCACTCTCCCTCCCCTCTTTCCCCCTTAACCCCCCTCCCAGCCCCTCCCAGCCCCTCCCAGCCCCCTCCCACGCTCTTGCTTTGACCATCCCTGAAACCAATATCCGTTATCCCCTCACCTCGAGAAACACCCTGCTGGTTTGGTTGCCTGGACAGCAGCGCGACACGTGGCTCCACGCCAAAGGCCGCCGTCGTGTCAGCCGATGACATGGCGATCATCGCAAGCTCCTCAGCCGTTGGATCAGCAGTGGCGATCCCATTGGTCGGCGCCGAAGCGCCCAGGCTCGGTGCCACAGCTGTGGAGTTGGAACCAATCAGAGGAAGGGTGTTTTCCGCGCTGTCTCCGTAAACCAGCACTTTATCCGGGAGACACATGAAAACTACCCCCGAAACCACGGGCATTTCCGGGCGCGTCTTGATCACCCCCCGCACAATCTTCCCGTTCCCATTCGGCCGAATCCCGCCGACCGCAATACCGTCTGCCTCCCCTGCAGCAACCATCGCCGAACCAAACGACGCAGGGTCGGAAAGCAGCAGCCGCCGAGCCTCCTCCACGCTCATCGTCACCCCCCGCTCCAACTGCGCCTGGCAAATCAACTCCACGTACCGATCCAGGTCCGGGCTAGCTCCGGGATCGACAATATTAGCTCCGGATAGATCCACGCATTGATTCTTCGCCTGCAAAAGCACCTCCTCGGGATTCCCTAGAAGAGTCAGCTTGCAAAGCGATCTCCTCAGAACCTCCCCTGCCGCTTGCACCACCTTCGGCTCGGTCCCCTTAGCCAGGACTACATGCGATTGAGCCTCGCGGGCCCGTGAGAATATCCCGCACTCGAACACGCGCGGGGTGACGTGCGCGGGGTTGGCGGAGGAAGCTTCCTGGAAGAGGATGCGGTGGATGGCGGGGGTGTCAGCGTGTTCTTGGAAAAGGTCGCGAGCTCGGCGGATTTTGGCGGGGGAGGAGGCGTGGAGGGAGGAGTGGGCGCGGGCGATTGAGAGACAGATGACGTGCGGGTCGAGCGGCGAGAGGAGGACCGGGAGCGAGGCGGACAGGTTGGTGGACTGCAGGCGAGAGATAAGGGGGAAGGGGGAGGCGGAGGGGGAGGGGGAGGGGAAGGGGGAGGGGGTGGAGGCAGGAAGGAAGAGGGGATGAGCACTTTGTTGATTATGGCGTGTGGGGCGAGCGGGGAGAGCAGGACAGGGAGGGGGACAGACAGGTTGGTTGAATGCATGTGAGGGATAGGGGGAGGAAGGAGGGCGGGCGGGCGGGAGGACGGGCGGGAGTGGGGTGGGAGTGGGGGGGTGCTGAGGAGGGGGGTGCGGAGGGAGTTGGGGGGGACGGGGGGAAGATGGGGAAGGGAGGGAGCGCAGAGTAGCAGGAAGCATGAAGGATAGGTATTAAGAAAGGGACAGGAGAACAACACAAGAAAGGGAGTGTACACCGTTGGAGGTGGAAAATAGCATGACCATATAAAAGTAAATTATGGGAATAATCTTACCCTGATCATATGGTCGATGGTGAGAGTTGGTGGTGTACCACCAGATAGGACAACTGCCGCCACCCGCTTGTCAGCTTTCGCCTGACTGAGCTGCATTGCCCCCAGGAGCACGTCCGTGTCGCTCGCGTGCGTTACAATGCACACTCCGCCCTCGCTACTGCCACTGTACACCCCATTCTCGTTATAGTCACACACGCTCGGGATTTCATCCACCAGCTCGTGAAACGGCGCTGTCGCCACCACCGTTTTCGTCACATCCATCTGGGCGACCCGAGGCCCCCTTCCCATCTGGCGGCTGACGTGGCAACTGCTGGATTCTGACGTGTCATGGCTACCGCTGACGTGGCGGGATGTTGCGGCGACAGCTGGCGTCATGGAGGGAAAGGTGAAATACTGGCTGCTACTAGCGCTGGTGACGCTGCTGCTGCTGCCACTGCAAATGTTGCTGCTGATGCTCCTTCCCGCCTTTCCCGCAGCAGCAAAGGCAGATTGCGGCCCATATAGCACCTCCCCCAGAACAGCCCTCCTCAGATCCTCTACCGAGAGTGACTGTAACGAGGAATCCTCTGGTATAATCCCGAGCACCGGGATGGGCTGGTGCTGGTGTTCCTCTGACGGGTGGATGTAGGCCTGTGAGCGCGAGTGGGCTTCGATGTAGTCACGTAGGCGCGGCCCGGAGCGGGAGGCGGGGCGGGAGGCGGATCGGGAGGTGAAGCGGAGGGGGTGGGCGGAGCCGTGGGCGGAGCGGGGGGGAGAGCGGGGGGGTGAGGGGGAGCGGGAGCGCATGGCCGCGGAGTGCGGGGAGCGGGGGCCGCCGCGCGGGGAGGAGGGACGTTCACCGATGGCGTTATTACCAGTGGTGGTTGTAGTACCACTGTTGCTGCTACGAGTACTGAAGCTGTCACTGGGCGCGCGGTAGATTAAGGAGCCTGCCACGTGGACGTGCGTGCTCCGTAGGATGCGCGCGTGGTCCAGCATGCTCTGCGCCGCGTCCGCCTCCCAGTCGATCTCTTCCATGGTGAAGTTTGGCTGCAAGGGGGGGATGCGGTGGGGGAGGGGGAAGGGGGAAGGAGAGGGGAAAAAGGAGAGGGAAAGAGAGGGCGGGAAGAGAGGAGGGAAAGGTGGGGGGAACGGGGGGGGGTTTAAAGTATGATTGAAATTATTCGTTTGAGAAACGCGACGGGGAAGGGAAGTCGGGGACGAGGGAACGGGCGGGGGGCGGGGGGTGGGGGGAGCTGGTGGTAGAAGCTTGCAAGATTGAAGAGTGGAATCGGGAGAAGAAGCAACGAGGGGACGGGGCGGATTTTGAGACGTCTCAAAACTCAACTTTTATTAGGAGCTGGTGGTAGAAGTCTGGAAGTTTGAAGAGGGGAATACGGTATAGGTAGAAGAAGCAACGAGGGGCGGGGCGGGCAGCGGGCAGGAGAAGGGGAGGTGAGGAGAAGAGAGGAGAGGAGAGGAGAGGAAAAGAGTAGGAGCGGACATACGTGGCTGGACTCAGCAGCAACTCGTGCGTCTGTTAACAATATCGCAGGCGCTCCTAGCGCGGACGCGATGAGCCCATTCACGGGCGCCGAGATAGTCCCGTCTTTTAGCGACGTCCCTTCGACCACCATGAAATCGTGCTCGCGTCGGCACCGTTCGTATGACATCAGAACGTCGTCGAGCAAATCGTCCACGCGATTCGCGTGCAGGAGAGTGGTCGCGCGGTCCTGCGTGACGCCGTACATGTCCCGCGCGGGGGGGGTTAGGCGGAAGATTTTCCGCATGAGCTCCGCGCGGTTTCCGCCGTGCGTGATGCAGTCGATCGGGCGGAAATAGCCAATGCCTGGGCAAAGCGGCTCGAGCGCGTGGATCAGGCCGACGGTAACCGCAGCGGCTTGCACGTTGGAACCCACGCTGCGATTGGATAGAAAACCGACGGATAAAACATCTCAGACAGGATTTATTAGAAGAAAAGAGTGGATTTGCTACAATTTTTGTCGACGCCGTATATTCACCGAAAAGTATTAGAAGTTGCCAGAAGTGATACTAGCTTTGTCGTTTTTTCGTGAGAATTTCGAAAAGATTGTTGTTACTATTGACGCGTACTTGGTGTGGTGGAGGTAGACGTTGTCCGCACTGCCAATGCCATTGCCACCGTTTGCAGCGGCCTTATCGGGCGGCTTATTAACGTGTTCCGCGCCGATGTCGCCGCCAGATGCGGCGGGACCGGCGCTGAAGCGCCTCGCGAACGCCAGAGGCGTGAGCTGCGTGAAATCGAGATCAACGGTGGACGGATACGGGGCTTGCGTGCAATCGAACGGTGCGCCGCACGTGGCGGCGGTGGGGGCAGCAGCGGCTGCGTCCAGACGGCACTTTTTCCACACGCTGCCCCACCTGCGCGCCGCGACGCCGCCCATTCCGCCTGCAGCAGAAGCGGCGAGCGCGCTGAACGCGCGATTGGCGGCGTGGCGCTGGAATTGCTGCGCCGCATGCGAGGCAAATAAGCGCAACATGATGCTGGGCTATCGGAGGAGGCGCGGCGACGACGACGACGGGCGGAGCGACGAATGAGTCGCGGGCGACGAGGGAGGGGATTAGGGAGATACGTCTGTTTGTTAGGCGGTTCAACAACCACGAAACTGAGACGACGGGACCATGGAGACGCGACAATAAGCGGAGAACGGCGATTGCATATGACTGCTCTCGAAATTGACGCAGTTGAATGGACGAACCTCCAATTCGCGCAGGAATGTGGACCTGTGCAGACGGTTTTCTACAGGGCTATTTGCTGAGTTGATGCGGTCGAGAATTTACAGTCAGCGTAGTGGCTATTAGTACCCTGTGTAGACACGAAGGCGGAGATACTGCAGGCAGGTTGTGCATGTGCTCGTGCAAGAAATGCTGATGGGGGTGACAGAGCAGCAGATTGAAATCCCTAAACGGTCCAGACCAGACCAGAAAGTTGAAGGGAAGAACGGGATGAGGTGGGGTCGGGGGGAGGGAAGGCAGCGGAAGGAAGGAGACAAGGAACTGGCGAGAGAGACGCACGCCGCCAGCATTGCAAAGCTGAACGGCTTCTGATGGGAAGGAAGTGCAGTGTTCATGTTCGTCCTTCTGTTGCGGGCAGGGAAACAGGGAGCTGTGCGTGTGTACGGTACACAGTACAATCCATTGACGGACAGCTATGGTGGAATGGGGCATGTACAGATGTTCTCGTTTATAGTTCGACGGAATGAGATGCCGCACGCGGAGTATGTGCAAAAACCTTCAAACCCCGGGCAAAACGAGATACTTATAGTCCCGTTCAGAAAATTGCATTAAGAGTGGTTTGCTTGCTACTAGTTTTTGGATTGCGTCTTTTACGTAGATTCGGACCGCGCTTGCTTCAACTTCTCGTCGCACGGTTCCCCGCACTGATCAATGTCGCATGGTTATCGGGCAAAAAAAAATTCAATTATGATTTGGGGGTCGAATAGAAGGTAACAACTTCTGTTTTACCCTGTAAGCGAGATAAATGAGATGTCATCGTCGAGCACACCGGAGACCGCGCGACAGGATTGAAAAGTAATCACGGTCAAAAGAAAGAATTACTTACAATTTTAAAGTTAAATATAGAATCGATGATCCCTTATTTATCACTTTCCCTGAAGGTTGGGCTGGTTCGATCTGGAGCCTCTGATTGGCTGCGAAGCTGATTCGTGCAATGATTCGGTCAAGCTGCAAAAATTCCCGCCAAAAAAGGAACTATAGGGGTCGGGCCAACCCCAGGCGATATCGGAAAACTCTACTCAAGGGGGGAAAATTACTCTTTTAGCGAGAGCCTCTAACCCGAAACTCTTGTAGTTGGCATGTAGTTTGAATGACGAATGACGGGCATGGTGTTCCGAGAGATTGACGAAGGCTGCCTTGGCTTGGCTTGGATGCCAGCTTTACGACGACGCGCTCCGCATGAGCAACGCGGATGGATTTTTACGGCCTACAGAACGGCTGTTGGTCTGGTCAGCAATCAGAATCAGTGCATTTCTGGAGGTGAATAAGGTACAGTAGTGAAGTGACAACATGAATGCCCTCGAGGGGTTGGCATCAGCAGGACAAGGTGGTGATTGCAAAAGAAACTTATCAAATACTTTGTAAATTGTTTGATGTGGGATTGCAAGTCCCACTACAGTTCAGGGTGACCACCTCGCCATTGCTCTCACAGCCCTTTGCGTGAAACGCGGTAGCGAATTAACGTTGAATCTTTACCTGCCAGTCACAAGCATTGCTGAAGTTAAATGGAAAATATAGCATGCTGCGAGACTTGTGTTACCTTGAAATTAGAGTGGTCCACCGCTCGTATTCTGCCACTTTATCCAGCCACGGCTCCAGCTGGTCAGGAGAAGTTGCATCGTAACAAGTTTTTCTGTCCACGATGTTCGCGTCATATATAAAAATCGCCATGTCAGCAATTCACAAAAGCACGTCCGTAGGAGTCAACCAAGGTCGCATGCCACGCAACTGACTCCAAACTTCGTCCACCACTCTAAATTGTCGTAACCGCGTGCCAGGGTACGGAAAGCTGCCAAGCAGCGAGGAAATATCATGACTTTTGCTGAGTTGTTTCCACGTCGTGGATAAGCCAATCGAAGCTGGTGCTTTCCGCGTGGAAATCGACTGTCTCCAGCCCGATAGGTGGAAGAACAATTGTGTCACACGTGATCTCCAAACCGACGGGTGGGTGGTTGGGGTTTGGCGGTGGTCTCCTAACTTAGCCACCTCTCGCTTTGGGAACACAGAGTCACTGTATCGAGGTCTATAATGGTCCTGTTTGTACTCCCCCATGCGTTTAATCAGTATACACTGATTATTTGCACTGAACAAAATGCAAATCCCCAACCCAGTATACACCGAGTGCCTCTATAAGATGGAGACCTGCAAATTAGCTACTGAGCCCATTAAAAAAACTCATACATTACTGCACATGTGATTCTCTCAGGGTATTCAATAAAAACACATACAGCTCTGCAGTAAACTCGGAACTCAAGAAGCGTCCAAAAGTCAGACCATCATTGTGCCATAAAAATATGAACCCATTACATGGTATACCGTTTTCCAGGTACCGTCCAATCCAGGCAATGTCATATTTATATTTAGTGTGCTGCGTATTCCAAAATATGTATCCACAAACTCTCACCACATGGTAAATGTGCGTATCTTCATTCCATGAACCCCAGTGAGACAAGTTCCTAAGCCGAACCCCGGCTCAAGACTCCAACAGCAAGCATGACACAAATCCCTCTGGCACGTGACACAAAACCTAAGCCGAACCGCCCTGCCTGATGCTGCTGGTCTTCATGGCAGCAGCTTGCACGCCTGTGATTGCAATGGTGGTGACTATATCCTTCACAGTGCACCCCCGGCTCAAATCGTTCACAGGTCTCCTCAGCCCCTGGAGCACTGGTCCCATTGCCACTGCTCCCGTGGACTGGACAGGGGGGGTGGGGGGGGAGGGGGCGGGGAAAGGGAGGACAGAAATGGAGCGGGAGGGAGAGGAGACAAAGGGTTGACCAATCATCCACAGTTCTGCTCAAATCGTTCACAGGTCTCCTCAGCCCCTGCAGCACTGGACCTATGGCAATCGCTCCCGTGGACTGGACGGGAAGCGAAGGAGAGCCAGACTGAGGGAGTGGGAGAGGGAGGGAAGAAGGGGAGGGGGGGAAGCGAAAGGAGGCTGAATATTGTTTATCCGCTGTTATTCATGAATCGTCCACAGGTCTCCTCAGCCGCTGCAGCACCAGACCAGACCCAAAAACAGAAACAGCTCCTGTGGACTAGAAGTTTGGAAAGAGGGAGGACGGGGAGAGGAAATGAGAGGAAACGAGAGGAAACGAGAGGAAACGGGAGGTCTAACCCTAAGCCGTGACTGATGAGTCGACTCAGAGTGCCGTAGTACTGGCGTCTGGCAGCTGATGATTGAATATGTCCAATGAGAATTTGAGGTGTTGTTGCCTGTGTTGATATGAGAAAAGGCGAGCACCGATGTGTAGTCGGGGAGGAGAGGAACTGAAGGAAAGGAGGAGGAACGGGGGAATGGGGAGAGTAAGAATGGGTGTTCGGTTGAGACCAGGGAAAATGATTACCGATTCCTAGTGCACCGTGCATTGCCCCAACTACTACCACCCCTACTGCCCTACATGCGTTGGGTCACTACCCCACCTACCAGCACTGCCCCACCTACCAGCACTACTTTGTACATTTCGTTGCCATACCTGCAGCTCCATCCCACCTGCTAGCACTCCCATACCTGCTGCACTGCCCCCCCTCCCACCCACTGCCATACCTGCTGCACTGCCTTGTACGTGTTGTTGCCTGTGTTGAGATCAGGAAAGATGAGCACCGATGCCTGGAGGGGGAGTGGAGGGTGTACGGTAAAGGAGATTCCGAGACAGGGAGATGGGGGATAGGAGAGAAGGAGAGTGATCGCGGGGTTGAGATGAGGGAAGATGGGCACTAAGGCGGATGGGGCAGGGAGAGGGGTGAAGGGAATCAAGAGACGGAGATGGGGGAAAGGAGAGAATGAAAGTGGGAGAAGTCCAGGTATACTCGTTTTGAGACGTCTCAAGTCCAGGTATAGTCTTATACCCACAGCAAGAAACTCAGCCCTGAACCAGCGTCCCTCTCGCGCCCCCTATTCCCCTCTCACCAGCAGGGGCCCTTCCATATCCACCACACTCCACCCATTCGCTTGCCTGCCCAGCGACTTCGGACATCCTCCCCTTTGAGCTTAGTCTTGGCTGTCTCCATGTTCACAGCAGCGTCGTACTGCAAAAACCCCCACCACACCTCTGCTTCCCATCTTCACCGCACTGCACCCATCACCTGCCCTGCCACTTCGGAAGTCCTCCCCTTGAGCTTCGTCTTGGCTGTCTCCATGTTCACAGCAGCGTCATACTGCAGCGGCCCCTCCAGAATGAGCTCTGTCCTGCACTGCACTCCACACCTCAACTTCCCATACCCACCACATTCCACCGCACTGCACCCACCTTTCCTGCCACTTCGGACGTCCACCCCTTGAGCTTTGCCTTGGCTGTCTCAATGTTCACAGCAGCGTCGTACTGCAGCGGCCCCTCCACCCCTTCATAACCCATACCCATCTCCACCACACTGCACCCATCCACGCACCTGCCCTGCCACCTCAGACGTCCTCCCCTTGAGCTTCGTCTTGGCTGTCTCCATGTTCACGGCAGCGTCATACTGCAGCGGCCCCTCCACCATGAGGTCTGGCCGGCGCTCATGCACGATTGCTGTAGCATCCGCCACCTTCTGAATGAGTGGGCCTGGGAGGAGTAGGGGCGGGAGAGGCAGGGAGGGGAGAAGAGGAGCGGAGGGGAGGGGAGGGGAGAGGAGGAACAGAGGGAAGGGGGTTGGGAGGGGTGAAACATCAGACACTGAAAGGTGAGAGAGCAGCAGCAAGCCAGGCATCAGTGACAGCAGCATCATACTGCAGCGGCCCCTCCACCATGAAGTGTGGCCG